GTGTTTAAAGGATTGATTCTAGAACCTTTGTATATTTGATAGTATTTCTAACTTTCATTTCTTTACTGTTTTGCAGTTAATGTTCATGTTCTGCTATGCAATCATTTATATGCACGTTTCTTTTAATTTTTTTAGATTTTCCTGGATGTATAGTTTAAACAACAAAAAGTCTATTTAAAACTGTAGCAGTAGTTTGCAGTTCTAGCAAAGAGGAAAGTTGTGGGGTTAAACTTTGTATTTTCTTTCTTATAGAAGCTTCTAAAAAGGTATTTTTATATGTTCTTTTTAACTAATATTGTGTACAACCTTTAAAACATCAATGTTTGGATCAAAATAAGACCCAGCTTATTTTCTGCTTGCTGTAAATTAAGCAAACGTGCTATAATAAAAACAAAATGAAGGAAATAATGATTAACTGGAATTATTATAGTTTTTAATGAGATTCTAAAGTAAGAGACAAACCTTTGTAGATTTAGGAATAGTTTTAATTGGTGTTGCACTAGGCACAACTAACTCTTTCTTTGGAAGTGAGAGCTTGCCAGTAAGGTACATCTTTTACATGGTACTTGAAAATTTCCTTGTGTGATATGAAAGCCCCTTGGGTTAAATTACTTAGAGGTTATTGGTAATGTTAAGGTATGTATTAAAATGAAATTTGGGCCAGCTAATTATATTTATATTTTCATTATTGGATAGGCCAGTAATTCTGTTCCCCATCCTAAACAAAACATGTTAGGTTTATGTTTATGGCATGGTTTAAATGCTTTTGCATTGAATGTGCTGAGCAGTTAATAAGTGATAACCATTTTGGGGAGTTGGTTTAAGTATTTTGTGGTTTGAATTCTAGCTATACAATGACAACAATTACAGCTGATAGTAATATGAGTATTTAGGATGTGCCAGACACCATTCTAAAGGCTTTATGTGTTAAAGGCTCCATTTATTCTTCAAAACCTTATGAGAAAGATACTTTTATTTCCCCCATATCACAGATAAGGAAATTGAGTGACAAAGAAAAGGCTCTAAAATGCAGGTCTAGGATTTGAGCCCAGGCCTGATCCTTAGTACTAAGTTTTTCTCATGGACTATAATTTGCGTGAAGCAGATTGGGGAGATTGTTCTCAGTCTCTCTAAAATTAAATGCCGCCTTTTTCTTTTCTTTTCTTTTTTTTAAGCTTGTGTCACTTTAACACTTGACTATGTTATTTCTGAAGTGACATACCTAACAGCTTCAAAAGGACTGTTCTACATTTGGTCCTGTGATAGCTAGGGTCCTGCTGATACCAGTGAGGATCCTTACACAGTGCTTTAATTTGGGGTTACATTCTTAAGTTCCACAATTATTGAGAACCTACTGTGTGTCTGGCACTGTGCTCAGTATATTAGAGAACATCAACTCTCAAGTGAGGGCTGACACTTCACCTCTCGTGTTACAATTTTTTTAATCAAGTAAGCAAGAAGAAAAATGGCAGATAATGCTTCAGTGAGAAAGGAAAGGTGCTGCGTAGAGTATGAGCTGTTAAGTTACAACCCAGGGAATAGACCTGGAAAGTATTATGCTATTCTCTTGAAAATTTGGCCCAGTAAGCTGCTACATCCAGTTCAACTAACAAAATCCTGTATACCACAGAGAAGAATAAAGAAAACCAAACTGACAAACATCCTTCTTTTATTTAAGACCAAACTGCAGCTGGAATACCCAGTACAGTTCTGCTTACTACACTTCAAGAAAGATCTGAGAAAGCGGAAAAAGAACCAAAGAAGGGCAGTTCAAGCGACCAAAGGGTGGGTGGAAGGTGCTGCAGTATGAATACTGTGTGAATATTTTGACTCTGGTCTGAAAAGATAAAAGAATGTTATTGAAACTACATGGAATAATTGAAGTCCCTTCAAGTATGAAAGTAAGCATTTTAGGACAAATAAAAGGAAATTCAGCTTTGTACTTGTGGAAACTAATCCCTAAATTTGAATAGGTTTATATTGATTCATGGATAACAGGTCCATAATAAATTACTGGAAACTAGGATGTCTGAATATCAAGGAAGACAGCCATAGTCTCTTTAACAGTGCCTCTTTGGTCTGTCTCAAACTGAATTGGGTGAGAAAAGGTATGGTCCAGTATAAACTTTTTCTTGGTTATCTCTGAAAGTCCGTTACATTTTTGCTACTGGCAAATCTTGCCTTTGTTTATTCCAGTGCCACTGTTTTCTGCTTAATGGTTTGCTTTGTTGGTATCTGAGTTTATTTACCTGTATGCCATGTGCGGTTTACAGTTTCCTTCCACACTCATTCCCAGGCAAATTCCAATTATGATACCTGACATCCAGCTAAGAGGTTCCATCTCTTCTTACCTCTTTCCTAGTCAGTATATTCAGCAAACATTTACTGAGCCCTTACTGTGAGCAAAAATTGTACTGGGTAATTGGGGGGAAATAGATTAAAAATTCACTTACTCAATAAATGTCTACTGAGCACAATCTAGTGAATAACATTACAGTATTGCCTCATTGTTTTGTTTGAGGTGTATTGTTTGTGGCAATATTTTACACCATTCATATCCAATGTAATTATAAAACCCAATATACTATCAAAGATAAGTAATTTTTGTGGTTACCTGCCATTTAAAAGTATCTGGTATTTATTTCTGTTTGCATCCCATTAATACAAATAATGAAAAAATGATGTTTAATCTGTAATAAACTGATTTATTGTGCAGTGACTGTAATATACTAGAATTATATTGTTAACTCTGCTTCCTCAAACACATTAGGAGAAAAAACCCCTGCAAGTATTTCATTTTGCATTAGATATGAAGAACACTGGGTGCTATAATTAGATTATTTTGAGGCAGACAGAGAGCTGTTATCCCAACTGATTTAGTATGTTCTGTAATTGAGAAAATGTTCACCAAGTTATACTTTTTAGTGATTGACATGTACATTTTATAGGGGACATGTTCTGTGTATAGTGAATAAATAACTTTTATAGTATCTCAAAATGTTTTGGATTCCTTAGTTCCTTATTAGGATATGAAGCTTATTTGCCTATATATATTGATTCCATCACTTATATTTTTGTCTTATTTCTGCCACATATTTAAAATTCATTTATTCACCTAAGAATATGGAAGTGTTTAAACTTTTAATTTGTAAAGACTTTGAAAATACAGAATACACATGAGGGAGGTATAAAATAGAGGTTACCTTTACCCTTGTTTTACTAATTTCAAACTTGGAAGATTATACAGGAAACAAGTGGCAGATAATAGAGTCCCATGATTTTTCATTTGGTTCATCTTTGTCACTGTTTTGCACTATTTTTTAGTTAACTGGGGATTTTTTTTCTAACAATAAAATTAATATAATGGAGTCTGGAGTTCACTTAGAAGGAAGATGTAATAGGTTTATAAGGAGGCTTAATTACAAAAAGTATTTTGTAACTTTTCTGGATGCAAAGAGATTAAATGTAAGCCGAGATCTCACAATTGTAACTCAACACTTTCAGGCTGGTCCTCCAAATTTCAGTATTGTATTACACTTTGGTCATATTCCCATTTACGAAATTCTGAGATACTTTGAAATGGGAAAGCTGTGACCTGAGACAGTGGATTGGTAGCTGAGGAATAATCTAATGGCATGCTACCAAGAGGTCTGTCAAAGTCTTTAGGAGTCCCAGGAGTAAACTGTTATTGATGGTAAATGAAGTACAGTATATAAAAGCAACCTATTTGTCTTCAACTATTGACATCTACAAGACAGCCAGTTGCTTAAGATTCTTTACCTTGGGTTTTTTATTCTCTGCTCCCTCCAATATTGTTAATGTTTAGTGTGTTACGTTTTTGTATTCCTAACAGTTGTTTGAGCCTTATATTAAAGATGGGATTTTTTTGTTTGGAATAAAAGCAAGGCATGTAAATTCATTTCATTGATAATTGACAGAGTAGTTTGTTACGTAAAAGGCCTTTGTGTCTAGTTTTTTTGTAGATCACATCTCTGAATGCTGGAGAGCAAAATAAAAATAAGCTCTAGGAGCCAAAAATCTTGGGCTTTTTTAAGGTTTAGCTCTGCCTTACAGACTTGTGACTGGGTAGGTAGATTTTCATTTGTTAAGGTTAAAAAACACTGTCCCTCTTGTTTTATAAATTGCCTATGAGAAAGCAATTAAATACTAGAAAACCTATTGAAAACCCTTCAGTTTCTTTCCATTTTGTACTTGTTTTTGTGAAGATGAGAACTTAAATAAGTAATGGACTCAGATGCCATGATTACACTCTGCAACAAAGATAGGACAAATTTACAATTTAACACTGACCAAGGGCTCACATTGGGGGCCTTCAGCCCTGCAGGATAGGTTTGTGCACGCACAATGATTTGGGAATTATCTGTGACACATAGGCTAAAGCTTTTCTACTCCACCCTCAAACCTCTGAACTTCCACTGTTTCAGTCCATCATAAACCAAAAATCTTACACTGGACTAACAGACACTTGGAGTGAGAACTGTTCAATGTAGTGAAACTAGTGCAGTATAGGAAAAAACTTGGCAATTGTTGGCATTTTCCATAGAAATGGCACTGGGGATAAAACGGGGGGTTGACTTTCTCCGAACCAGTTGTTTCCTAGTTTGTATGAGAAAATAGAGCCTTGTCCTGCTAGGGTAAAACTTGAAGAATTACCAACAAATATAAAAGTTCTTGGTTCCAATTAATTTCAGGAATTCTTTTGTGCTAATTTTTTTCAGTAAACCTAAAGGGGAGATAAGTTAAACCCTGCTTTACTCAACTTGACAGCAAATCAGAAACTTCTACAGCCTTTTGTTAATAAGTCTTGATTGGAGAGTCACCTGTAGTTGCTTTCTTGGGTAGCTGTTGAACTAATCCAAATATATCAGCAAATTGGTTGCTTCTTAAAAGCAATCTTAATGTAAGTCAGTTGGGTTAATTATGTGCATTCTAAGAACAGTATTAAGCACTCAGCATTTTTTATAAAATAAACAACCCACTGGGGAGAAAAAGCAGTTTTATTTTAATTTCATGCTTCAAATTCATATGTGCACATTAAGTACTATATAAACTTGTCTTAGGATATAATTATTTGACTTGAGCAATATTATCTTGCCTGAATTTATTTGGAAAAATACAAACCGGCCATTCTGCTTTAAAATATTCAAAAAGCCACCAAATTAGAAAACAGGGCAGTTACCATCAAATTTTTAATTAATCCCCACATTTTTAACTACTGAGTTAATGTTATACTTAGCATTTATTTCTAAAGGTGGGTAAAATGTTATCAAGGTATTATGCAAGCAATCACATCATTTCAGTAAGTGGTCCCTTGGTTGCACTTACTGGTGACCAAAAAAACCCCACTGGCATTAATCTATGTATCCTAAGTTACAAAAATTGTTCAAAGCCAGTATGAATTTTTAAAGTTGGATGGACCCTTTAATAGTTAATCTTTGGGTTTAAGGAATAAAAATTAAAATAGTCCCATACTGCATTTCACATCTCTTAAAAATAGGAAGTGTTTTAGCAGCTTTAAAACCTTTTCAGTTATATAAAACTTATTACACTAGTATTTATTGAAATATAGTTTACAACCAGATCAATTTTAACATACATACACTGGCACTTTAGCACAAGGGCAGGCTTTAAAAACAAATTATTCTGGACCTTTAAAATTAGGCCATAGGCATAAAAAGAGTCTATGGTCTTACATTCAACAAATTTATACTAAAATACTCTTTATTTTTGTAGGATAAATGCCAAAACTTTACATATGCTACAAGTTTATTACATATATTTACATGGCTCTTTCCTACGTACTCAAAACTTTCACATTATGTAGCTCCCTATTTTAAGCAAGCTTTGCAGGGATGATTTGAGGCCAGATCACAGAATAGCCTGTGCAGTGCTTTTTTTTAAAAAAAAAAGCACTTTGAAAGCTACTCTGCCCACCAATTGATTCTATAAAAATGGTTTTGGCACTTTTTTTTGCAGTCACTTATCCACTGCACATGAGAAACACTGTTCATTCTGAATTGCTCCTAGTGCCCCTTCCACATTCACCACCAATCGGATCACTAAACTGCTCAAGTATTCCGTAAGGAAAATTCACATTTTCTTTTGGCAGTACATCAGATTGTTGGCATATTACTGGTTTAGGTGTTTCTAGGACACAAAACTTTCAATACTCAACTAATTCTCATTTCCTGTCTTAACAAGATGCTTATAATCAGATTCACTGGCTTTCAGCAAGTAATTCTGACTTGATAGTCTTCAATCAGTATTCTACCCAAACAAGCAATAGAAAAAGTTGATTCCTTTACTTACCATTTCCCAAATCTAAACTTGCTTTCACCTAGGAGTTGCGCAATTGAGAACACTTGATAAAAAGTAGAGTTATCAGCAATTTAGTTATTTTAAGTGGCACTGATAATACCATTACATATCACAGTGCACAACACAAAACCAGATGAAGTCTAATTGTCTTTTCTACATTAATTAGCAGTTTTATAGACATTAATACCCTAGTGAATTTGGTATGAAACTGACAACTACCCTTAATTATTACTAAATTTAAACATTAGTACTTTATCTTACTTTATACCTGGACTTTAAGTAAGGTTTTAAGTTGAAATGTCATTATTTCCTTATCAGAAGGGTTAAAGGAGACAGGAACCCAGTGGCTTGGTGGTTTAGGAAGTACGCTTGGTGACGGCGGCTCACTGAATTTGGCTCCAGCATAGTTCTGGTTGGTTTGAGACTTAAAAAGTAAGCTGGGACTTGATAAGCCAGAGTTCCAATTTTGATTATTTGGAAAATTTTTGTTCTTCCCCCCATTCTGCATGGCCTGCCATGCAGCTGCTGATGTGTTGTAAGTATGTCCTCTTTCTTTTTTCTTATGAACAATCTTCATCTGGGAATTTTGATCCTTGGTCTTCTGTCTATTAAGTTGTTGTGGGTTCTTAGTAACATTTCTAGATTGAGGAGTTGGAATGTTATACCTCTCTCCACCACCCATCTTCAGCTTCTTTGTCACCTGTGAGTGGAAACAAAATACTGAGTAAACTTCCAATTTAAGAAATTTAAAGCTTCATGGTAACTCCAGAAATCTTAGGGAAGACTCAAAAAATGTACTATTCAGCTACTTCACTGTATGTTCACACTTCATTATATGCAGTTTTTATTACCTAAGAAAAATGAACTTATTACCCACAAATCTTAAAAGTCCTCTATTAAAAAAACAAAACAACCAACCAAACAATTTAGGGTGAATCCACCATAAAATGTTTGCATTACAAAAAAAAAATTACGAGTATTTCTGTACCTTTCAGTCTGTTTTTCAGATTGCAGGATTCCCACTCTCTGTCCTCTTCCTTGTTGCCAAGCCCAGGAGAATAGATGTTGCTTTCTGACAGATCCTTTCCTTTGTCTCAAAACAGACGTTTTCATGGGCCAATCTGCTGAGTCCAGCTTAGGAGCCGAGGCCAACATCTGAGTCTCCTCAGCACACAAGTTTGGGAGAAGTCCTAGCTAGAAAAGTAAAGATTACTTCATTAATTCAAATCAAAAACACAGGAGAAGTGACTGTTTATAGTTACTACAGAAATAAAGAATGACTAGCTCTTGAACTAAACGCAGAAAATCTGAAGGTGGCTTTTTTTTTTTTTTTACCCTGTCATCATTTAAGAACTCTTGACCTTGAGACCCAGGAACTCGTTCCTGGGAAATTTTGGGACGGGAGGGATGTTTGCAAGTCCCTGCAACAAGTTGTTCATACCTTTTTCCTGCGGACTTTGCAGATTCTCGCACGGTTTTTGTGACCACAATGTTAAGTCAAAATACGGAAGCATTAGCCTTTACAGCCGTAACAAGAAATTGGCTTAAAATTCGTTTTCCAATCTTCCGACACATCCGTTTTCACAAAGCCTGTATTCCCAACATGCTTACCTCGGGCGGTGTTTTCTTTCATTAGGAGCACTCAACTCCTCCCCATTTTAAAATAAGTTTTCACACGCCATTAACAAGCCAAGGCAGTTCCCATCTCAGGCACATGACAATGCCTCCCTACAGTGATTATTTAACATTCAAGGGCCCATTTTCACCTGCTATTCCAAGAAACCAGGTTATCGGTGAGCCCTTTTCTTTTCGAAAGGGCAATAGGGCCTTCCGGGCTGTTTTAACAGCCCCGATTAACTACGAGTTTCCGGAACTTGAGTTGTTCACGACGCGAGCGAGCCCGGAAAGTTCGCTGCTTCCGACGGGGCTTCGGAGCGGCTCCGTCCGTCTGTCTCGAGCCCGGCCGGGACCCGGTCCTCCCGGCCGCCCGTGCCCCGCCGGGTTCCCAGATCTCGCCTCCCCCCAACAATGGGGAGCACGGCCGCCAACATGGCCGTACCCGCGGCGCCGCTGCCACTCACCGACTTCAAGACTTCAAGTTCGGACTGTAGCTACGGATCCTCCTCAGCGACGAAGCCCCCTCCCCTTCCAGGGAGAGACGAGGCACGGAAAGAACAAAGCCCACAAGCACGGATGACCTAGCTACCACCACCTCGGCGTCCCGACGACTTCCTCCTCCTGCCTCTACCGACAAAATGGAGGCAGTGGCGAGCGTAGGAGCGGGGCTGGGAGGCACGATGGCCAATCAAAACGCACCGACGCGGGGCCCAGCCAATGAGACGCAGGCCACCGCCTGTTGCTGGGGTGGCTAAGGAAACGGAGGGTGGTGGTTGCGGCGAGGGTTTGAAATCCTCTAGAGAAGCATGTCGGGAACAACTGCTGTGGGCCCACAGCTGACACGGGACGCCTTGGAGGCTCCCGCCCAGCTGTTCCCAGCACCTCTGGCCGCGGTGGCCTATGCCCTCGGACCTGCTGACTCCTCGGGGTCGCGATGCCGGAACCCCGACCCAAGGATCCCGCCTTCGGCGCGCATTTGGCCCCTGGAAAGGGACAGGAACCGCCTGCCAGGGCAGCAGCTCCAACCTGGCTCTCGCGCAGCCCTTATTTCCCGGGTTGTTTTCTTCCCTGGGCGGCCGAGGGGGATGACTAAACGGGCCATCTGGCTCCCAAGTTCAGGTGACTGAGCGGCGCAGTGTTTTACAGATGGAGGATTCTCAACCAAGTTGCTTTCCTCGGCCTGGCCCCTGCCCTTTAGTTCCTGATACTCCCCACCCCCACCCCCTTTCTGTTCTTCCGCGTGGAAACAGCTTGGCAACCCCCGGAGCTTGCGGTTCCTCCCGTCCTCCCAACCCCAGCCTCAAAATTCTTAACTAGTTGGTCCTTGACCTAAATTACAGCGCTTCCTCTTAGCGCACGGTGACTATTTGTGATTGCACCTGCCCACCCACCCCGTGCACGCCCTCGAGGGACAAAGCTAGGTTTTATTTGTCCGAGCACAGTGTCTCGCACATGGTAAGTGCACGAGAAGAGTTTGTTGAAAAAATGCGGGCTCCCTTACTCCCCTTCCTGTGCAGTGTGCGAGTGTAAAGCTAGCGTTCAGCTGATAGTGCCAGCAACGTGCAGGGCAGAGGAAAAGGGCAACTTCTGTGGAGTGAGTGGATTAGCAGTCCAAAGTGAGTGTTTTAAAAGAGAACACCGTTTTCTATGAACACATGAGCGTTTTTGTTACTGGGTTTATATATATGTTTTATAAATTCCACCTAATTCGTTTTTTAATATTCAGTTTATCACCGCTGTCATCCCCCATCACTATGTTCTTCTAGCCGTGGGCCTTAAATTTCTTTAAGAAAACGACATAAGCGACTACATTTTTAAAAAGGAGTTTGTTAGTCAAATTAATTTAGAAGAGTTATTTTTTGAGCATGGGACTTTCTGGTGCTATTATAGTCAGATAAGATGCACTACCCATGGTAAGTAACTGCTAGGTTTCTGAATGTGTGATTGACTTCTTTAAAATTCAAAAAGCTGGCTTAGATATCCGGCCAGAAAATAGCCAGGCTGTATTTAACGGGTCAAAACTGACTTGAGAAAAGTCCCTTACCATATGTTCTTTAATATAATGGTTTGCAAAGTGAACAGTCTGGTTTCAGTCTGAGCACTTTGTCTAATTATTATTACCATCATCCCAATATCTTTCAAATTCATCCCACTCCCACCTCTTCTTTCTCTCTACCCTCCATGGACCCAATTTTCACTTATTTAAAACAAACACTTCAGCGGCACCTATTGTATTTCAGAATCCAACCATCCCCCCAATTCTTGTCTGTATAAACACACAGGTAATGTACTGGATACTTGTAAATACACACACAGTGTATCAAATATTTTGCCTTCCCCCTCTTGGTGCTATCCTGTTGTTGCTTATGTCATTTTGTTACAGAACAGGCTGGGTGGGGGTGGTGGTGAACAACATATATTACTACCAAACGGACCCCCTTTTGCTCTGGGGGTGCCCCCCCCGCACCTACTAGGTTCACCTTGCCCACCACCAGAGGAAAGACGTTTCTCAATGCCAGAGATTGGTGAAAAGGAAAGGAATTATTATTTATTTAAAAGTTATACAGGCTAAAGTTCCTTAGAATACCCACAAACACACACAGTCCTTCCTTCTCCCTCTGCCCAGTCTGGGGTACAGTATCTCGGAAAGAAGTAGAAGTCCGTGATTCAGGCTCCCGGCAGCACCCACGTGGCAAAAAGGGAGCACGTCCAAGCCACATAGTTCCCCCAAAAGACCCCAAATGGCTGCCACGCCTGGGTTTAAATGCCAGCACCAATCTTCCTCTGCAGCCTCATTTCTGGCTCCTTCCACAATTGGCCACAGCTGCCAGCATTCGGGGCAGGTGTGGCCCTGTGGTGTGGAGCCAATCATCTCTAAGCTCTTCTGGATCCCATTTCAAATCCCTACTTGGGGCCCCCCTCTTGGCTCACCCTGTTACAATTTCATTTACTTTTCACAATGTATGGGGTAGGTGCTGTTTTGATCTCCAGCGTACAGATGAAGAATCCGAGGCTCCCACAGTTTAGAGCTGAGAGCCACCCACTCGGTCTCCAGCGCTTAGGCTCTGTATTGCCTGCAGCATCTGTCCGAGTCACCTCCGTGTCCTCCCCACTGCCTGACACTGACTGGCTGGTGCCTGGGCTGCCCGGGCTGCTTGGGCACTATGAGGCCTCCATCATGCCGTCTGGCTGAACCAAGTTTCCTGCCAGGTCCGAGTCCCACTGCCCTCGGGAGGGCACTGTCAAAGTTTTTACCATGTCTCAGGCTCTCAGCAGCCTCCCCAAATGGTTCCTGCCTCGTGGGTCATTAATATTTACTCCAAGTGCTCACAGGAGCTCAGAACTGGAGAGCGGGAGTTAAAAACACCCCCTCTTCGGGGCACGTGGTATACAGCCTCTGCCTGTCCCCTGCTGGTCTTTAAAATCCGTTCCATCAACAAATCCAATTAGTGGTTCCCAGTTCCAATAGGAAATGTTAGTGCAGACAACAAAAAAGCTCTTAGAATGTAGACCAGACACCAGTGCTGGGAGCCAGATGCATAACAAATATGTAGGTGTTCTTTGGCCAAGTGGCTCGGTTGGTTGGAGCATCCTCGTCCCAGACCTCAAAAGGCTGGTTTGTGGGGAGGGCACATACCTCAGTTGGGGGTTTGATCCCCAGGGCAGGGTGCATATGGGAGACAATTGATTGATGTTTCTCTCTCACACTAATATTTCTTTAAAAATAAATAAATTTTAAAGAAATAAATAGAAATAAGTAAATAAATACAAGGGCATTTAATACCAAACATTTATTCAACAAAAATTTATGTGGTGCGTTCTTTGAGGCAGGCACTCTGCCAAGAAGTGGGGGGACAATAGTCAATGAGACTCCTGCCCAGCCCTAACGGACCTCAAAAGCTGTTGTTTCCTTTACTATAAATCAGAAAGGAGAGCTGGTGTCTAGGAGATTGGCTTCCTCAGTTTTCCCCCCGAGGATCAAGGACAGGCAATGCCCGTTGTAAACACAGACGTCAGCCTGCTGACATCACGAACGAGCGCGGGTCACAGACACTGGACCAGACTGTGGAATGGAGGCCTCAAGGAAGGGAGCCCATACTCGCTGAAGTCCTTTCCCAGGAGAATCTGTTTGGATTATGTGCCAGAGGGAGCCAAAATGAACAAAACCTATTTCACATACATTACCTACCTAATCCGTAGGCAGAAGTAGGGCAAGAAAGTGTTTCTGAAAGTTCAGCTTTGGAGCACTGGCAGGTTGCAGGCTGATGCTTAGTGTTCGCTAGACTCCCAGGTGCCGGGCAGGTGGGGCAATCGCCCAGGTTTGCCAAACCTGTGGAACCAGTCACTAGTGGGACTGACTGGCTTTCAGGCTGGGTTACTTACCTTCCAGTCTATCTCAAGCTAGTTTGGTTATTTTTATTCCTCAAGCTCATGTATGAATTCTGAGTACAGCTCTGCTTACAGATCTGTCAGTTGCTGGCTTGTTTCAGTTAAGAAAAGCAAGTGCTTAGAACCTGACAGAGTCAAGTGGGACCCCTGCCTGGCATTTTGACGTGCCTTAGGGCTCTGATCTCATTGCCAAACTGGTACCAAAACATACGCCCTGTGCACACCATGAGCTGATTTCCTGGGGAAGCATCTGCCGCGTATTCCCAGTTGCTCACACATTCCTGAGCAACACGTCGGTTCTCAGTCATTGCAGCCACTTCGGTCTGGTTACCACACAGAGCACAGGAAGTCAATGCTTATCTGCCACACTTCCTGTGACTCTGCCCCAGGGGCGCTCCCGAGCTCTGAAGGGTTCTGACGCATGGACTCCCACTCTGGATTAGAATCTTTGAGGTTGGGTGCTTGGGTGTCCGAATTCCAGCTGAGGAGCAGCAGACTAGGCCACTCCAAAATGTGCCACTTTGGCATAAGGATAATTTTGAGCTAAAAGCACTTGAGAAACAGCAGGTACAAGAAAGGCACTTTGGTACCACTCTCTTTTTCTCTTCCTGAAAACAAGAGAGAAAAATGTCTTCCCCATACCGGGAGGAAAGAAACATTCTTTTCTCCTCACCAAGGACATTTTTCATTGCTTTTAGAGATGGAGGGAGAGAGAAACCTTGACCAGTTGCCTTCTTCCTGGGCCTAGATCGGGGATCATATGCACCCAGAGTAGGGATCGAATCTGCATCCCAGGTGTGTGCCCTGACCAGTAATTAAACCTGCAACCTTTCAGTTTCTGGACAATTCTCCAACAAATTGAGCCACACAGCCACACTGGCCAGGGCAGAAACATTGTTATCACCCGAGATTGGGAGTGGGAGGGAGACCCAGAAAATTCTGTGCAAACAGACCTTCTCAATATAAGTCTTATGTTCCTCTAGCCTCCCCATGTACTTATTTTGGCTGTGTTACCATGATTGTATTTCTTTGTTCAACCTAGTTTAAAAGCATTTAAGCGTTGCCGCTTCTCTGGGCGTTCCTTTCCTTATGAAGGCTCCCGTGTCTCTTAAACATTATATTAAATCAATTTGGCCCTGGCTGGTGTGGCTCAGTGGATTGAATGCCAGCCTGTGAACCAGGGGGTCGCCGGTTCAATTCCTGATTGGGGGACATGCCTGGGTTGCAGGCCAGGTCCCCTGTGTGGGGCATGCAAGAGGCAACCA